TTGTTGCCGACTGGAAGCACCCTGCTGCCCCTGTTGGTGGCCAAACATCCCCTGACTCTGTGGAGGCATTCCAGGCTGCTGCTGGCTCTGCACAGCCTGTTGCTGCGGCGGCAGCTCTCGGTTGAACATACCTTGCTGCTGCGGCGGTTGATGTTGCTGTGGGGGCAGCAGCGGCGGTGGCTGCTGAGGGAGATCAATGTTCATCGGCTGCGCTTGTTGAGAAGGCCCCTGTTGTTGAGGGGGAGGAGGCTGTTGCTGCGGGGGAGCTTGTGTTGGTTGTTGCACAGGTACTTGACGCTGAGGTGATGGCTGCCGAGGGAGTTGAGGCTGCAAAGCTGGCTGCTGCGTAGGAGGAGGTTGCAGCTGCTGTGATGTTGGCTGCTGCGGTGGAGGAGGTTGCAACTGCTGCTGAGATGACTGCGGTGGGCGCTGACCTGGCAGCAGCTGCATTGCCGGTGGCCGCTGTTGTTGTCCCTGCTGCTGCTGAGAGGAAAGTTGTGGTGCCACCTGATGTGGAACTGCTGGCGGAATTGACGTGGGTTTTACCATCCCGAGGATAATCTGAACCTGAAACAGCGCCTTAGTCAGCTGAGGGTTTTGCACGAGAATACCCCGTGCCTGTTGATGATTCTGCTGAATAGCTGCCTTCATTTTGACCATGATGTCATAAAGGTGAGATTTGGACATGCCAGCCAGTGTTGCCGTAAGGGGTTCATTTCCAGGAGCAGCCGTGCCTGGGGCGGCTACTCCTCCAGGAATTCCTGCAGCATTTCCCTGACCTACCTGCACACCATTCATCAACTGTGGCTGGCCAGCACCGCCTGCCATAGCACCTTGCAGGGATGCCATCATAACACCTTGCTGCTGCTGCTGCTGTGGTTGCTGCGGTTGCGAGGCTCCGCCAAGAAGGCTTGTCATGGTCAACGCAGCAGCTGCTGCAGCTGCGTGACCAACTGCTTCTGGCATTGCCGGTTGTATTACAGGTGGTACTGGAAGGGACTGAACACCTCCCGCCATCCCGGCAAGCGGCTGTGATGTCATGCCCCGTCCCGCATGTCTGTCATAACCACCATGTGTGTTTGGCAGTATACCTGACCCCACCCTTCCTCCCCCCCCTCCACGGTTATCAGATGAATGATAGTAGTTCTTTGCATTCTCCGCAAAGTCAACCCGAAGCTGCCGGCCATTGATATCGTAACCTTGCAAATTCCTTCGCGCGCTCAGTGCGGTCTCCTCATCTCGAAACTCACAGAACCCATAACCTTTTGGCCTCCCCGTCTCCCGGTCTATCACCAACCGGAAAGATACAACCGGACCCACCTCCTCGCAAGCTTGAATCAACTGCTCTTCTGTGGCATCATAAGGAATGTTTCCCACAAACACACATCGGGAGGTACGATGCGAGCCCATGCTGTCACCTGCGATACCGATGCGAGGCCTGCAGGTGATGTCAAGAACATGCAATTTCAATTCCCTCTGCCAACCAACAACCGCAGAAACAAACAATTAAAACTCCCTCTGCCAATCCACGACCACAAGTGTTCTTCTGACGATGTAACGCCTTCTGCTGACCAACAACAACTCCACAGGTCCTTCCTCCTAAGTCCTCCCACTTCTGTCCTCCTCTTCCCTAGCCAGTTAACGCTCCCCTGCGTTTCCGTCTTGTGTTCCCTTCCTGCCTATCCCTCCTCCTGACCCCTACCTCCTCGGGATCGACCCCCTCCTTCAGTTCCGTGTTAGCTGCGATCACCTCTCTGTTGATACAATTGAGCCTCTCAATTGTAAAACCACCGCTACCTGGTAGTTGCGCCTCTCAACCTCAACAATCAAGCTGGAGGTATTTGTCCTGACTCCAGACCAGCAGTAGCTCCAGTGCCTGTCCCTGCAAAAACAAGTGGGAAACAAAGTGGAGAGAAGAAAACGAGACCTGAATCAGAAAGGACAGCGGGAGCAAACATAGGATAGCCGAAGCAAAGATAAAGGAGCAAAAGAAACTGAAAAAGAAACTGATAAAGAAACTGAAAAAGAAACTGAAAAAGAAAGAAGATCAAAGAACAGTGATGTGACAAACTGCTATTGACAATGACAAGACCTGGGTTTATTACCGTACAATTCCATCGAAATCAACACTAAGCAGGCAAATAAGCCAGGGGAGTCGAAAAAGTAAAACTGTGAAGAAGATGGCACAAAAAGTGTGGAAAGAAGTACACAATGGAAAGAAGTGCACAAAAGTGAGTACCTAGCGGGCAGTGACATACTAGTATTTTTCTGAGGGACTCTCACTGCCGACCAAGAGCAGAATAATCCCCTTGAATGGCAAGGCGAGAGCGGTCTGTAAAATTGCAAAAGGAGGAGGCGTCTCCTCAACTACTAGGCTTCCCTTGTTTCTGCGACCAGGGCACACTCATTGATATCTCGTGGGCAGGATAAACATGGATTCCTGTACTACAGCTTCATGGCAAGAAAATGAGCGGATGATTGAGTTAGGATCATGTGTGAATAAACTCTCTCTCTCTCTCTCTCTCTCTCTCTCTCTCTCTCTCTCTCTCTCTCTCTCTCTCTCTCTCTCTCTCTCTCTCTCTCTCT